CTCCCTCCGAAAGGCCTCCGCGACTCCCAATGACGTTTGCGGCTTATTGGAGGGTGTTTAGATGGAGGAAGAAAACTGCGAAACGCGGGGATAACAGGTGGGATTGCGTCACAGCAGATGCTATGACTGAACTGGCTAATAGGTGAGCAGGGATCACGGAGAAGGTATTCAAAGCTGATTGTGTGTCAGCCTACCGGTGGACCGGATGCTCGAAAGGGTGTGGAACCGGATAATAGAACTAGGGCAGTGAATCAGTGATAGTCGTTGATCACAAACGCCAATCATACAGCTGTTCCATTACTCGTCGATATCTCCATAGGTATTCTTGAGATATGTAACGGCTCAGATAGCAATTTTAGATTAAATTTGCCGCAAATCCTCAAATTTATTGGCTGAATGAGAATAAGGAGCGCAAAGAAGCATTATATTGACAACGAGTAAACTACGGAACGAGTAGCTACTACGAGAGGTGGCAGTACATCTGTCCGAGATAAGTCGACAAGACAGACATATGAACTGGGACAACATACAAACTACTGGGTGGGCGCGGTGGGGACAGCGGCAGCGGGCGCGGGGGCGGGCGGAGCGACAACGGCGACCTCGTTGAGCTTGACGACGGCGTTGTCGTTGTACCGGTTGCGGTAGAATGCGAGGGCCTCGATGCGGCTCGCCTTCTTCTGGCGGAATTGGCCCGGCACACCGTTTACTTCTGCGTCCGCTGCGACACTGAGGCGACGGTGAGTAAGGGGAGAGATATTGGAACTGGAAATATTCACGAGCTGCAGTACAGACCAGGCTCGCGCCCGACGATGACGACGTACCACGCCTGGTGGTCGCCAAACCCGGGCGGGAACATGGTGTCCATTTGGGCGGGGGTATAGGCGACACCTTCGACGAATTGCGGAGGGGGCGCTGGCACAGAGGGTGAGATTAGATTGAAGGGAATGCAAATAGACTTACGCTGTAAAGCTTCAACTGCCTCAGCGACCTGGGAGGCGATAACGTGCGGGATTGCATCTAAGATGATACGACGAAGTGAGCAGGAAACTTAGAGTGGAGCGTGTCATACCGTCGATGTCCATCGTGAGCTTCGTCATCTCCAGCGCGAGCTTGGACAGTGCAGCGACTTTGGCAACAAGCGCCGCCAGCTCTTGAGCAGGGGTGGGGGTGGTTGTTGAGGTGTTCATAGGGAGGGAGGAAAGAAGGGATGGGGGTAATGCAACGATGGCAGCAAGATATGGCGGGAACCTGTGAAAACAAGGGCCAGATCGGGAAGGAAGATTTGTCTCTGGTCGCGAAGGGATCAACACATGTGGCTGATGAGGAGCGATAGGGCGGGCGCCGGTGAGGTCGTATTGGGTCGTCCGCTTTGGGATTCAGCCTAGCTTGCGCAGGGATGATTGGGGAAAATTGTGAAGGGAAAGCGGGCGAAAGCGGAGGGTGGCGGGGTGCCTGAGCCTACTCGGCGGCCGCCTGTGATTTTGCGTAGTTATTGGGGGGGAAATGGCCAAATGTTGGTTTAATTCTGGTAAATTAGGGTGGCGAGGTGTGTGGGTGCGTATCAGGCTGCTTTTTTGGACTCGTTCAGTCTTTCATTGCCTTGTCAATTGGTTGTTCTTCACTCGCAAATAACCTACCATAATGCCGCCAAAACCTTGGACAACCTCGACGCAGCAGGCGTATCTGGGGCTCCAGATGCCAGACTACATTCGACGCCAGGCGCAAAAGAAATTATACTTGTTCTGGCCACCGATGCAGGAAGGCTGGTTTTCGCGATTTTCTGAGCATGCACATCTCGGACTGCCTCTGCCGAGCGACCCAAATGCGCCGCCGCTGACCCAAGAGCAATTGACGGCGTTGGGTGAGGCAATCTGTGTCCGTAAAAAAGTAAGTGGAGGGCTTGAAGCGAGGGAAGGGCATATCTGACCTGTATCTATCTCATTTAGCAACTTGCCAGCTGGTTCAGGCGCGAGCGGAACAAACTCCGGAGTGGTAAAGCTGGCCCCGGCAAGAAGTTATCGCCTCTGTTGAAGGCTCTCGCCAAAAAGACTCAGGCTGTCGGTCGTCGCGCCCACCAAGCCGTAGAGGTCTTTCAGATGCGGCACAAGGAAGAAATTCGAGCGGAGCTGACGGTGTTAGGCCACGACGCGTTGAATGAGGCTGCACGAGTTGCGGCGAAGGCGCAGGATGGAAAGGAGCAAGAGACGCGGGAGGAGCAGGAAGTCGCTGTGAAGTTGTCGAGGTCAGAAAGGATGACCTTGAGAGGGAGTGTCGTGTCGAAATTGTGGGCTAATGCGTCGGAGAAGGAGCGGCAGGAGGTGTACCAGGAGATTGCGCGGGAAAAGGCAGCGCTAGCAAAGGCGCAGCGCGAGGCAGAGGAAAGGAATGGCACGCGCGAGAAAATGACGGGGGAACAATACCAAGTGTAAGTCAATCAATGATTTCTCGTTGCAAGTTAACTGAACGTATATGCAGGGGAGTGGACGGCGTAGACGAGCTGTTCGAAGGGGCGCACGGACTACTCGGGGAAACAGCGGGGTGGGTGGGTGTGTCGCTTCTGGCGGGGCCCACACCGCGAATGCCAGGCGGCGAGATATCTGTGAAGGTGTAAGTCCAGAATTGCCTAATGCGGGCGTCGCTGAGTTTGTACTTGTTAACTCACACGGCTTTTCAGTGTCTGTAGCGGTGAGACGCCTGCAGGGAACACCTTTGCTGAGTCTTGCGTGGATTTCGAGAAGCAGATTGTCCAGCAATTCACGCAGTTTGCTGCCCGTGTCTTCAGTAAGTGAATTCAGTGAATGTGATCTGCGAGACTGATTGAGCTGGCAGGTGCGAGCGACTGTTGTGCACGCGCCATCCAGCCACCCTCTGGGGCCACAGAGACTCCGGCTGTGCTGTCTGCCCCGTCCGCGCCCGATGTGATCGTTCCTCCCCTGTCGAAGCCGAAACGTGTGCCAAAACCAAAGCAATCAAAAGGGCTCAAGGCGGGCCCGATTCTACCTCCTCCATCGGTCACGCCAGCATACCACACCCCTCCTAGTGCCCCTGCTTCTCCTGCTTTCGCTGGTGCTCCCAGCTCTGCCCCTACATCGAGTTCCCCGCCGACCTTGTCGTTCGCGCCGGCACTCAGCAGCCCGGGGGCCTTGGATAGGCTGGGGGCATCCCTGAATGCGGAGTTTGGGCCCGATTTTCTGGATGGCTTGGGGATGGGGGCCGGGTTGTACGACCCCAACACGGATTTCAGTGGGGACTCCTCCTTCGGCGCCGACTCCTCCTTTGGCGACTCCTCCTCCTTCGGTGACTCCTCCTCCTTCGGCGCCGACTCCTTCGCCGGTGGATCGTCCTTTTCCTTCGGCAGCGATGAAAACCCCTTCGTGATTGGCAGGCCACGCGATAGCGCGACAGGCAGTAGCGGGTGGAGGCCGAGTACACCGCCTACAGGGGTATTCCCGCCCCCACCTCCTTCTCTGCGGCCCGTGCCCCGCCCCACGTACAGAGGTGCCTCTTTCTACGACGCGGTAAAGCCGGATGGGGGGTCAATCAGTACAGACTCAATCTACGCTCCTGGCGCCATGCTCGCGGCCTTTACAAAGACGATGGCACCGATGGTGTCTGCCCCAGCGAGCATGCGAAGGAAGACGACGGCTTGGGCGAGCCCGTCGAAGGCGGGGAGTGCCGGTGGCCCAACCCACGCGGCGCGTCTTTTGACATCAATCATTGGTGGTGCATCCGTGACACCTGCCATCCCCGCCGCGACACCGGCATTTGTATTCCCCGTGTCCCGCCCAGCCGCCAGAACACCTCACCTCCCCGCTGCGACGCCCGCCATTCCAGCAGCGACTCCCATCATTCCCGCCATTCCCGCCAGAACGCCAGTCGTTCCCATCGCGACACCAGCCATTCCTGTCGCAACGCCAGCCATTCCTGCCACAACGCCGGCGCTGGTATTCCCCCACTCCCGCCCTGCCGCTAGAGTCCTAGTCACGAAGGCGGCGGCAGCAAATGCGAATAAGGCCCCGCCCAAACGGGGGAGCAAACGCAAGGCTGCCGACGTTGCGGCAGAGGAGGAGGCGGTGGCGCTGAGAGAGCCCATCGAGCCCCCGAAACGCAGGGGACGCCCACCCAAGCCCAAGACGCCCGCCGCCGCACTCGCACCCACCGTGACTGAGGCGCCCAAGCGCGGACCGGGGCGGCCACCTAATCCGAAGGTGGCGACATCCATGGAGGGTACTGAGGAGGGAGGAGCGTTGGGTGACACGACAAACGCCAAGGCGACGCCAGCCTTGATTTATTCCTCGACCAGTAACAATTGCCAGCAACTTCTCAAGGAGAATGCGGAGAAGCAGAGGGTGATGGTGGAAAAGGCGGCACTGAGGGCGGAGAACATGTGCCTCCACAATCCCGCTGGCGAGCGGCCTCTCGACATTGTGACGGTGCCTCGCGCGGTGCGCCAACGCACAGCGGCGAAGTTTCTGGATGGAATGTTTGTCCAGCTTGAGCCGAAGCTGACTCGGGCGGAGATTCAGCAGAGGAAGAATGCGGCGTCGGAGAACGCAATGTTGGAGAGGACGGGGGCGAATGTATCTGGGGCAGCCGGGCCTAGCAAAAAGTAAGTCTCATCACTGAATTGGCGCTACTTGATGCTGACATGTGATTGGCAGGAAGAAAACAAAGTAGATGTCTTGTTGCCGCGCTGCTCAACCAGCGGAGTTTTGTCTCTTGCTCGCTGCTCAACCAGCGCTCGCGAATACTGCCGAGGCTGCTCAACCAGCTGTCTTAACTTCGATATCTGGATGCGGTCCTCAACGGACTTTTTACCTAGTCGGCGGCTCAACCCGCCGTTTGTAGTTTATATTTGTCGCTCTTCAACGGGTGGTTGAATGGTACATATCAATGTATCCTTTTTACGATGAAGTCGTGTTGGGCTCATCTCAGGTTATGACTTGTATTTTTTTTTTGAGTTGAACAAAAAATTGCCGCACCAAATGGCCGTAAAAAAATGCCTCCGCCTTGAGTCGAACAGGGGTCCTCCGGAAAACCACTACTCTGCGTAATCCGGATGCACTACCGCTGTGCTACAGAAGCATTGAGAAATTGAGGAAATACATTCTCCAGGTCGGAGCGGCTACTGGGCGCAACGCTTCCGGACTTGGGCAAAATTTGCATAAGTCAGTAATAACAATAATAATATTGTTGTAATTGTGTAGTGGGTGCGAGCGCGAGTAGGTAGCCCCGAGGGAATATCGCAGCGTAGGCGTTCGAGCGGCACGAGCGCAGCGGCGGCGGCGGGGCGAGCGCGGCGCGGCGCGGCGGGAGGGCGGGGCGGGGCGGGGCGGGAGGGCGGGGCGGGGAGGGCGCGGGGCACCAGGCAAGATAGGACGACCTGTCCAACCAGTACGGTGAAGAATTGGAGCGCCGGGAGGGCGGCAAGCCCAAGGATCGGCGGGGAAGGGGCGGGAAGGGAGGAATAATTACGGATAAACAAGTCTCAATGGTAGAAGATATTAATTTCTATCTAGAGGGTTTAAGGCGCCGTATACTGAGGCCAGGGGGCACCGGGAGGAGGACGCTTTTAGGAGCGGGTGTTGGGGCATCGGTCCATAACAAATGCAAATACGACCGCTCTGGGAACTGCGCACGGGCCAGGGCGCGGGGCGCGGGGCGCGGGGCGCGGGAGCGCATTGATGGAAGGGCGCAACGCGGATTGATGGGAGCGCGGCGGATTGATGGAGGCGCGGCGCGCGGGGGCGCATACATAACAAATGCAAATACGACCGCTCTGGGACTGCGCACGGGCCAGGGCGCGGGGTGCGGGAGCGCATTGATGAAAGGGCGCAACGCGGATTGATGGGAGCGCGGTGGATTGATGGAGGCGCGGCGCGCGGGGGCGCAGGTATGCCGGGGGCCACGGTGCTAGAACCTGTGGTGATACATCACGACACATCGCTGACTAGCGGTGGTGATGCATCGCGACACATCGCTAACCACCAACGCCGTGATTAATCAAATCCCCAGATACGCCTGGACTGCGCGAAAAGCGACACCAGGTTCATGTTCTCGTGGATATTATTCCACGGGTACAAGAACAGGCGGGTACAACGCGTCAACGATGCCGCTGCCGTTCTCTGGTGGCTCGGGCAATTGGCCGTTACCTCACTCTTCCGTGGCAGTTTCTATTGGCACGCCCGGAAGCTTGCGCACATCGACGCGGTCGCAATTTAGCGACTCGAGTGTCGTGGTGCAGTCGCACCGGTCGTTATCCACGGTCCCCAACGGAGCCGTCTACGACCCGGCGGCCGATGTGGACTACTGTCCGCGACTGAGTCTTAGGGATGGCCCCGAGATAGGGGCTGCAAATACTCGTCACAGACGAGATCACGCGAGCTCCGAAAGTGTTCGGAGAAGTTATGGTGCACGTTCGCGCTCCGAGAAGTCACGGCGACGTGCGGAGTGCATTGCACAGTGTCAAGCTGCACAGCATGCAGTAGATCGCTGCGAAGCTGAGGCCGCGGCTCTCGAGCGACTCGCGGCTGCCAAACGTGCTCAAATTATGCACTGCAAGCTCATCCTCAATGAGGGAGAGAAGTGCGCGCCGGAACTCGCACGCGTGAAGACTCTCGCGAGTACGCGGGAATTGAGCCAAGGGGTCGACCGGAGGTCGGCTACTCCGGTGTTGCTGGAATACAGCACTCGCGATGTTTTCGCAGTTCTTGCGAAGCAGGGATATCTCACAAAGTGGGGCGCGAGCAGTCAGCCCGACGGAGATCGCGCGTCGAGCCGAGAGTGCTTGGCTGCTAGACGAGGAGGAGACTACGCTCCTCTGGAAGATGCCTCGTGTGATACGCGAGGAGCAGAACACAAGGAGCCTCCTTTGGCGGAGGCGTCGGCGATTAACCGACTAAACGGGGTCGAGAGCGATCCCTATCAGTCGCCAGCGCTCATTTCGCCGACGAGATCAACGGAGGCGCCGTTGCGAGTGCTCAACCCGGAGCAGTGCAGCGGCAGCGTAACTTGGGGAGGTGTTAATAGCTCCCAGTCTGGCGGAGCAGCGAGTTCCGCTACTGCAAACTATTCGGGTTACCCTGATGATAATCCCTTGTCGCATGACGGGGGTTCTGTATTGGTTTGTGGGTCGTCGCAGATGACCTGCAAGCACCCTGATTATTCAGATCGCAATGACCGAATTTATGTTGTGGAATTGCCTGTTCCTATTGCAGTGCGCGTGGCGCAGGCTCCGTCAGTCTTCGACGAAAACCAATCTACCATCGTAAGTTGGGGTAAATCTAATGTACAAATATGTATGTTATTACCTGCATCTAATTCAAGCAGTGCTGCTCTCAAAGGGCAGCGGAGTCTTGTCGAACCAGACAGGAAGTGTCGCGAGGATAATGCCTCATGTTCAACACGACCTGAAGCTCGTGATGGGGGAGGGATGCGCCTCGGCGACGCTGAAAAATGCGGCAAGTTGGCTCAGTATATGAGCGCGGGTACGCTGGAGGGAAACCCTCCTTCGAAAGCGGATATACAGGGGAGCGTTGAGAAAGCGCGGCCCTGCCCGCAGACGCCGCTGGCATATCTCTGTCAGGTTCGCAGAGCAAGCCAGGAGCCTCAAAATGGGGACGGCTTGCAGAGTGAATATACTCGAGCAGATCGCACGAGTCGCGACAATATTGACAATGCAGTCAGCGAACTCAGTCGAACCGAACGCTGCAGCTCTGCGACGAGTATGGATTCACATTCGTCGCACGCGCAGGTAGAGAAGTCCTGCCTGACTCGAGTCGGGAATATTCCGAATATCGACGGCAACGAGGATCTAGCTACTGGAAAACAGTTGTCTTCCAGTTATGAGGCTCAAATAACTTTTGATCGAGGCCGTTGTTCAGCGATTCATGAACTGAAGAGAGTGAAGTGCAGCTCGCGTTACAGCGAGCGGGAGATGACAGTCATTGAAGAATGGCAGAGCAAACTCACGGGGAGTAATCCCCTTGCGAAATCGCGCTCTCGAGTCAAGGAAGAGCCAGAACAATGTGTTATGCAGTGCACAGCGGAAATTGTCACCGAGAAGAATAATCTCCTCCGAATCAGAAAGATTGAGAGCTCACCGCTCGCTAGTTCCGCAGTACTCGAGGATCTCGGAGTCCATGAATCTGGCACAGAGTCGGAGCTTGAGCAGAAGAGTTCTTCTCCTGGTGAAATATTACTCGGACGAGAGTCTAACCAGTGGTTGGCGCGACCTCCAGTAATGGGGGACAGGCTATGTACTGTCGTGGCCAACGGCTACAAGAAAAACAAGGTCGTTGAGGAAATATTCACCGATGCGAAGCCTTTCGCGATCCTAGTGGTCAGAAATGGCCACTATAATGGCGATGTTTCGCTTGGTATCCCAGGAGCTAAACTGGGGGAGTCCTTCAATTGTGAGGGAGTTTGTTCCCAGATCGATATCGGTCTGGATTTCTTTGGTCTGCAGAACACCAACGGCTGTGATTCAAGGCCGAGACTATCTTTTGAGATAGAGCTATTCTGTGCTAGTCACGTAAAATGCCTGGTGAATAAGCCGGGTGGAACAGCGAGACTACATAGTCTTGCACCAAATTTGCTGGTTAGAAAGCTCGCACTTGCAGGAAAAAACTTTTCCGGGGATATATGTTCCCCGGTCGCAGAGCTGAAACGTGCTGTGAGGTCTAAAGACCTCGGCGTGAAGAACGCTTGGGAGAGGAGCAGTATCCTCTCGATAAATGCCGAGAGTTCAATGGTCATTAGCCTCCGCAGCAAGAACCGCGGGGAAATTATTGACCAGACCAGTCGAGCGCTCGCAGAATTGAGGCGGGAGTTTTCCCGAAATCAATGTTACGAGCAAAACGTACCAGGGTATAATTATTCTCGAGTAAGCTCGAGACTACCAAACCTGTTACAGGACCAGCACGTTGCGGTGGCGAATGCTGCCGCGAGGGGAATAAATGGAAGTGAGGGTAATCTCACCGAAGTAGATGCACGGCGTATCCACGATGGGTACGCATCGACAGCCAGTAATTCAGATGAGAATGAGCTCATTAAAGCAAAGATCTGGCGACGTCGCCGAGATTGGGAAGAGAAGGCTCTCTGGATTGAGATCACACCTGATGCGAGAAATGGCTCAACTATGGGATACCTCCCAGTCGAATTCAGTGGAGCTTCTAGGCCCCTTGCGCAGTGCGAATATCATTCGCAGGCAGTGATGGAGTCACCACAAGTTGATTCAATGATCGAGGACAGAGTCCTCCCACTATCGTGCTGGGCAGAGAAGCTGCCGTTGCCCAAACTCGAAGATTGGGCACAGATATATTGCTCGGACTATGCACATGAGTTGACCAAAGTGCTTGGATCAGTGCCAGAGTTTACGATGCACAATTTGAGGATGGTGCATGGGGGAGGGAATGCAGTGGAAATTTACTGCAACGTCGAGAGCAGGAGAGACTCGGAGCATGCAGACAAACAGATGCAAATTTTGCGACTTTGTCACCGCGTGTCTCCCGGCTCGCACTCGCATTCACTCGAGCAACGCTCGGGACGCGTTCTTCGCGCTCAGAACTCCTATCGCAACGCTGGGAATTCACATTCAAGAGTTCCGAGGGGACGGAATCAGTTGAATCGTTCAGAAGTCGCGTTGGAGACAACGGCGCAGAACGGTCACGAGATAGCTCAGGAATGCAACGAATCGCGTGGGATACATTCAAGCAAGCACGCTGGGGATCGAGCAACTTCTAATGGTCCTCGCTGCCCCGGCATATTACATCCGGCTACACTTGCAGCGCGATCATTACCTGCAAGCTTTTCCTCTGCCGTTGTGCTCATGCCTTCGTACATTCAACATTCTGCCTCATCACACCCCTGTGTTGACTTCGGCCTCACATCCACATCTGTGCAAAGTTCCTCTCGAGCCGACATCGATTCGAGCGCACGTACCGCTTGTACTGCGACCCCTTCAGCAGCGATCGTTCATGTCACTCTGTCTGTCGCCATTCATGCGGCACCAGCCGCCCGTCTTGCCACCACGCTCGCCGCCATTCTGGCCGCCGCGCTCACCGCCATTATGGCCGCTGCGCCCA